AATTTTGTAAATAAACTAGAAAAATAAATTTAAATAAATTTTTTTATTTTATACTGGTTCACTTACAAAGTTCATATACATTGTTTTTGTATTGTTGTTTCTTAATACTGGTTTATTGACAAAGTTTTCATACATTGTTTTTCATACCGGATCTTTCCTATATCCTTCACCAACTCTCCTCCACCAATTAAATTATGTGAGCCTATGGTTAACCACCCTCCACTCCCCCACTTATCCTCACCCCTCTGCCTCCCACACCCCCAACCTTGAATCCTCATACTCATTCTACAATAATGGTTTTATACAATATTTATCTTTGTGGGACTGAGTTAGTTCACTCAGCATAATGCTCTCCAGTTCCTCCCAAGTTAGGGAATAATTTACAAAATCACTGCTCCTGTGTGCTGCATAATATTCCATGGGATGAATGTACCATAGTTTCTCAATCCATTCATTTGTAGTATGACATCTGGGCTATTTCCATGTTCTTGCGATGGTGAATAACTCTGCTATGAGCATTGGTGTACAAGTCTCCGTTTGTGCCTCTGTTCTCATTCTCTCAGGGTAGATTCCAAGCAATGGAATAGCTGGGTCATATGGAATTTCTATGTTCAGGTTTCTGAGGATAGGATGCTGCACATCCTATGACATCTTTCCATTCCACGGCTTGCTTCATTGGGTTTAACCCTGAGGACTTCGGAGATTTGTGGATTTTGTTTGTTTTCTGAGAAAGGGAAGGAAACAGCAGGAAGTGAAGGTGAGTAAGAAGCGTGGACACTGTGAGGGGACTGTGAGGTTTGCTGGGGGAGTGAGTACGCACAACCAGAGAAGGTCAAGGTCCTGTGGCCTCTCAGGAGGACACTGGGAGGTTGGCTGTGACAGGGGTTGTAGGCTTTTTCAGATTGGCCTGAGCTGGAAGCTAGTCAATTCATTTTTGTGCTGGAAAGATGAGAGCGAGCTCCAAACTAGTAGCCTGTAGTGGAACTTTCGAGATACTGTCCATTCCAGTAGAGTTCTTAAATTGTGGGACTTCCTGCATTAGATCTTGGGAAGAAAGAGAGAGCTTTAGAGTTCACTTGTTATGGCCCTGAGGGGTGGAGAAAACCGAGTGGAGAAGAAAACCAAGACATAGGTCAGAAGCTTGGATATCACATGGAATGAGTTAGTGCAGGAAGTGCATTTGTCTCCGGAGCCTGGGGCAGGTGACCTGATGGAGTTCAAGGCCAGCAAAGCCACTGCTCCAAAGGCCCAGCAGGAATAGATACCCCTGTCCAAGGAGAGGAGACTTGGGACACTTGGATCTGCTGACACTTCACCCTGGGTTCCCTAAATAGCCTTCCCACTAGAGTCACCAAGAGCGCAGGGTACCTTGTGCCCTTCTCCACGGTCCAGGCAGAAAAGGGGTAAGAACTCAGAGGAGGAAGCAATGGTTAGGTTTGAGGAAACCAGAGAAAGGACCCCTGGGTCTGGACTGAGAACAACCCCACGGGGACCTGGAGGGAAAGAGGGAAGGGGGCTCAGGAGGGAAAAGTGAGGGGGCTGCGGTGGGTGGGAGACGCAGAGCCCTCAAAGCTGTGAGGGGCGCCTGCAGAGAAGGGCAAGTGGAGCAAGAGAGGGCTTGGGCTGCGGAGAGGAGCGCAGGGGAGGCGGTGGGGAGCGGTCCCTGTGAGCCAAGTGCTCCGTGCCGGCTCGGTGCAGGGTGGGCGCGTGTGGCGGGAACCTTGGGGCTGTGGGGACCTTGGGGCGGAGGCGACTGTGGGTCTGCGGGGGACAGCAGGACAGGTGAGCGGCCGCAGACGGTCCTGCCCCGCCCTTCCGCCGCGCCTCCCGGGCCACGCTCCGCCCGTGCGCCCTTGCGCTCCGTGTCTCTGGGCTGGGGTTGCGCCCTCGGCAGTGGCTGTCCCTGTCCGCGGTCCCCGGTCACCGTCTCGCCTTCTCCTAGGTGGCTCCACCCCACCCGGGACCAGGCGACAGGAGCGAGCCAGGCATCAGGCTCCCCGCGATCTCCCGGC